ACCCCTTTCCACAGTCATTTACGCGTTGTAACCTCGCGCAGAAACAAGACGAGTACCACCATGATCTGGAGATTGCCACGGCGAAGATCAAGAAGCTGCAGGCCGAGAACGAGTGCGTTCTCCGTCTTGTTATTTTTCTGCGCACGGGCTGACCTCGTGCGGAGCCTCCTCCTCGACGCCATGAACCTCGCTGCCACGCACCAGCCGTCAATGTTCGGCCTTCTCCCGCCGCCGCTCCCGCCCGATGCGCCCTCCAACGACGCGCCCATGGACCTCGACGCGTTCGTCGGCACGAGCACCAGCGCCTGCGCCCCTGCTCGCGGAGCGCCCGCCCCCGCGCCACGTAAACGGGAATGGCGCGGGCAACGGGAACGGGAACGGCAGCAATGGCACGCGGAGCGGCAGCAGCAGCAGCTTCGGACCCGCGCAGACAAATGGACACCCGCCGCCCATGGAGGTAAGTATGTCTATCTACCCGTGCCAAAAAAAAAATCTAACAGCCGCCCAGCAATCGCGCCCATCGCGGCCGCCCTCCATCGAGTTCATCGCGCACGACATGAACGGTCGCGCGCCCTAAGTCCTGCGTACCTTGTACCTAACTGCTTTTTCTCTTGTATTTTTGTTTATTGCTTTGTTTCCGGTAAAAATACATCTGGCTAATTGTATCGTACCCGCGGCATCGAGCGACTTCTGGTGTCGCATTTGGATCCCGCTCCGCGCTAAGCGCATGGTCACTCCCGCACTTCCCGGGCCCTCAACACTGCTTTGACATGAGTTTGATTTCCGCTAGTAGTACACATATATCTAGGGCTATAGCGCCGCCGTCCGCTGCGAACCTAAAAAAAAACAGACAAACAAGAGGCGATTCGGTCGTTCCGATTCAGGAGGGGCGCCGTAGATGGAGGACGAGATGAGGGGGACGAGATTGGGCGTAAGGTGAGATGGCGATGGTGATGGCGATGTGGGTTGGATGCGGGAGGAGGAAACGGATGGACGGATGGATGTACGATGCAACAGGACGGTGGTATACAGGATGACAGCAGGAAGCAGGAGGCGTGTAAGGAGGAGGGATAGGAATAAACAAGCGAGAGCAGGGGTAATCCGAGCAGAACAGCGCAAGGGGATGACGATGAAGGAATGGCAGACCAAAGGAGGGAATGAAGGATGGAACGACAGCTGTTTTTTTTTGTGTAGGGCAAAACGGGGAAACCAACCATCTAAGTGATACGTGAAGGGTTCGTTCATGCAGATAAAAGGGGGAGCACAGAAGAGTCCAAGAGATCCGACGACAAAACAGAGAGCTCCACACCCATTTTTGACGCGCACGCGTCAGCGGCTCGGCGCGTTGCTCGGAACCGTCGCGAGCGACAGCAGCGGGCCGCCGAGGCCGCCGTTCGGGCCCACGCCGCGCGACATGTTCCCGATGTTCGGGATCCCGCGCTGGCCTTGCCCGATGTGCGCAAGGCCGCTCCCGCTTCGCGGCCGTCCGCCCCCGCCGCCGCCGGCCCCCCACGGTCCTAGACCGCCCCCAGGGCCGCCGCCCGGGCCCGGCTGCATCGCGTACCCCAGCGGGGCGCTGTCGCTGCGGGCCCGGCTCGTGCGGGGCTTCGGCGGCGAGAGCGAGTCGACGGTCGCTGCGTGGTGCGCCTGCGGGTGGTGCGGGTGCGGGCTGCCGCCGTTCGCGGAGCCCGGGCCGACGTCGTCGCTCGACATCATGCGCTGGCGCTTGGAGCTCCCGCGGCCGTTCTCGACGTCGTCGAACATCTCCATCGTGATGGACCCCGGGGACGCCGGCAGCGGCGAGGCGGATGTCTCGCCGCGCGAGAAGGAGATATGCTGGAAGCTGTGCTGCCGCGAGAGCGAGTGCGAGTGCCCGTGTGAGGGGTGGTGCTGCTGCTGCGGTGGCTGGTGATGTGGGAAGTCGAGGGCCGTCGGGCTGGCTTCGTACCCGCGCGGCGACGTGACGAAGATGTTTGGCTCGAGTAGGTCGACGGGGAACGGCGGCACTGCGGGCGGATCGTTTAGGGCAGTAGAGGGAGAAGAATAAGACCGTCACGGACCACTTCCCGGCCAGCCCTTGCCGACGACGTCCCATAGGCGGCCGACGACAGAGACAAGCTTCTCGACGCGGCGGCGTTCCGCGTTGAGCTGCTCCCACATGCGCTGGTTTTCGTCGCGCATGGCGCCCAGCTGTGCCGCAACCTGGGAGCGGTGAGAGTGGGGTTAGAGTTTACGCGGGCGACGCACCTCGCCGGGGAGTTCGACGCGGTGCTTGAGCGCCGGATCGGGCTCCAAGGCCTTGCGTTTAATCTCATCGAGCAGATCTGGGCGGCCGCGGAGAAACTTGTGATGGGAGAACTCCCATGTCTGGGCATCGGAGGTGGTCCGCTGGGCGCGCGGCGTGCGATTGATCTTGTGGAAGCCGTACATGTTGAGTTGGCGCACAAAACTTGAGAACTGCGGGTTTTATTAGAACTAAGAAAAATGGCCCTTGGTGGATCCAAGTGGGAAGAATACGTACATTGTTGTGCTTGAAATGACTGCCCAAGATGCTGCGACTAAACTCACCGACGTTGCTGACGACAAACGAGGTGCCGAGCTCGGTCCAGGAGATGAAGTGGGAGGACTTGGCGTCCGTGATCATCTGGTAAAGCTTGGTGACAAAGTTGTTTGTGGCCATCGGCTTTCCGAGGATGCCCATGGTGGGGACGAGAGTGGGGACGGCGATCTTTGCGTCGTCGCCACTGCCGCTGCTGCCGTCGACGGGGGAACTACTTGCATCGCCGTAGGACACAAGACCACCCATCTCCATATCATCGTACCCAGCGCTGGTGGGGTTTGCGCTCACAGGGGAGGCTGGACGGGGGGACAGATTTCCACCGTCGGTTGTGATGCGCAGGGAGGGCGTGGACAGGCCAGGCGTATGAGATCGCGACCCGGGCGCGTTGGGGGGCGGATCGGATGAAAAACTGCGCTTCCTCGGTAGAGTCGAGGAGGATCGCGGTGAGTGTGGCACAGGGACGCTGACTGAGTCGTAGGATGAGTCGTGGTCGTACGGGTCCTGTGAGTCGTTCCCGCCGCCGCCGCCGCCGCCGCCTCCAAATTGGAAGGGGTGCAAATGGCTTCCATAGGTCGCTGGACTGATTGGTGTAACGGGGCTGAGAGCACCAGAAGGGGGACCGATGGGCGAGAGATTGGTTGGAGATGCAACTGTGAGCGAGGAGAGATTGAGAGAAAGAGACGAGGAGGTACGGTGAATGGGTGGTTGTTGCTGAAAACCAAATTGTGGGTAGTGTTGCTGCTGGGCTTGCTGTTGCTGCTGCTGCTGAGTCCAGCGAGGGTTGTAGTGACCGTCGGGGGACATTGGGTAGTCCATGCTTGCCAGCGTTGTGGCGGTTTCCTTCAAGCTTGCTTCAAGCAAAAAGCAATCTAATCAGGGCGGAAGCAAAATCCGCTTGTCTCACGCCCTTTCACCGGTCGACATCACTCCCCGCGTCCACCGTCAACTCGGGTCCAGCAAATTCACCGACTGCCACGACAGCTCCAGGAGCAGTAATGTGGCTCCATAAATTCGCACATCTACTCGAAGCTAGCACTATATCGCACTTATGCCGGGCCACATTGCAATTCGGGTAACTTGGGCTGTAACTTGGCTGTACATTGGCCGCAACTTCCCGCAATTGAGCCCAGACGTGGCTTCCGGTCCTACATATCTAAATTGCACCTGCAGGCTGTGTCTATCCCCTCCGCAAACCGAGGAACAAAACCTGCGCAGCAACGAGGTCAGAATTCATTCAGCCTTGCAACCATTGGCAGCTTTCCAAGACTCCAACAGCCCTCGCAACATGATCTCCGTCCACAAGAAAAACTTCACCTGCCCCCGTCTCGCCTGTAAGATGTCCCCGATGACATACACGTATGTACTGCTTGCAGCTGCTTGCTCTCTTGCCAGTGTGCCACCCTCCCGGGACCCGCGCCTCGGATCACCTACCTCCATACACGTTGGATGCCGTATACCCCCATGTCATTTGATCCCCGCCTGGTGGAGATCCCCGTCGGAGCGCTCGGCCGCGCGGGGAGCGGTTGATGGGCGGCTATATGGGCGGCTGGAGCGGCTGGTCGGGAGCTGTCGCAGTCAGCAATGCTCCGTCCCTGGCTGGGCATCGAGTGCTTGCCCTGGGTCGCATCGCAGCTCTGCGAGGGGTTAGCGGCAAAATTGGCGTCTTGGTCTGGGCAGCCTTTGCGCAACTATGGGAATAGAAAACCAGAGAAAACCTCAGCGCCGAGACATGTCGAGCCCCGACAATCTCCCGCGAGGCACAGTGCGCCGCTGCCATTCACATACAACTCGAGAGTAGCTTCTTCGTCGTTTGTACCCGAACAACTGCAATTCTGGAGAATCGGTCAAATGACTTGAACAAGCCACAAGCAAACGTCAACAAGTGTTCAACTGTTCAAGGGTTCGAGACCGAAGGTATATTACCGCATTCCCATTTGTTGGGGTATCATATGGTGCGTCTAGAGTGCGTCTGTTTCTCGGATCCTTCGTACGGCTCGACCCTCCAGCCCAGCAAATAACAACTCTGTAGGTCTGTGAAATTACCGTGGAGGAGGCCCACCTCAACATATCACAAATTAAATAGTGGCCATTCCAGTGGGAATGCCGTCCAGACCTTAGTGAGGTAATTCCACTGTGGACAGCGGCGCCAAGACCCAAAAGCCTGACTGAAGAATTGAGACTTACGTACTCGGGAGATTCACACCTGCGGCTTTGTTACAGGCAAGCCTCCTCCTCGCATACAATGGACTCTGATTTTCCGTGCAAATACGGCGCATTCCGAGCCTCCCGGTTCACACAATCTGAACTCGATCTGAACTCGAAAGTCCACGTTGGAAGCCGAATAATCCCGAGGCACGTGCCACATCCGCTTTGGGAGTGGACCCGTGACTGGTGTTTCCCACATAGGATGACGGTGGGTACAACTCAAGCTCCATATATCGGCGTCATAGCTCAGTTGGGAGAGCAGCAGACTGAAGCGTGACTAAGGCGTGCCCGCTTACGTAAGTTCATCTGAAGGTCCCGTGTTCAAGCCACGGTGATGCCATCCTTTTACATTTCTTTTGCTCTTGATTTTCTTACCTCACCTGTCTTTTCCCAAACGCGGCCCTGACTTCCAAACCATGTCCATGACGCCCTGCTTCGAGACCGACACCAACACCCCAAGATTTGGGTCGATACATTTCCGAATTCCACTGAAAACCTACTGCTCGGTGTCTCGAGTCTCGGATGCGACGACGCTTATACTTTCTTGTGGCCTCCGGAGTCAGCATCCTATGGAATCTGGCTTCAATTTTACAGCCTGAAGCTCTGGTACTCAGACAGGATTCATCTCGAGTCGCTCTACTGGTATGATATCAAGCTCCAGCTGCTCCGAGCCCACAGTTTCTTTGTTCTACCTAACACCATGCTTTGATATATAGTGTCCAACGTGCGATGGGTTTCCGATCCATTCTTAGATTCTTGAATGTCTACCTCCCTTCTTCAAGATATCCTCGCCGTGATTATTTATGACTGCTTCGTTGACCGGCGCTTGCTACTAACCGCTGGAGAAATCCCACACTCGGCGTTTAATTTCATCTCTACTCCGTGTCAAGCGGGGCAGAGTTGTATCAACCCGGGCATGCTGGCGTAGAACCAACCCAAGCAGTCTCGTGTTCATGATAACCCGTCAACGTTGAACGGTACAGAGTGGGTATTAAACTATTCACAGTTTCGCCTTTACATCCTTCTCGAGAATTTGTATCACCTTATTCGCCACTTCGTGCGGAACCACCGCGGGCAACTGGTATGAATGGTAAGACGTTATCCATGAACCTGACGAATACTCACGAAATGCCCAACTCCTTCGATGACCGTAACAGAGGCCAAGGACGGACGATCCCGTTCTATATTAGCTGCTACAATATGTTGTATCTCTGGTAGCCTGTAATCTGGAGTTGAATGGAACACTTAAAGGACTGTATGGCGAGGTCGCACCAAAAATCACGCAGCGATCCCAGGATGAGATGTACAGGCAGTGCGTGCCAAATAGTACGAAGATAAGGCAGCGCTTGTGAAGCAGTCCCATCATCGATAAATGCCGCTGTCTCCTGCTCTGCGGTGGTCTTCGTAGTAATGTAGCCCTGGATGACTCGAATCCGGACAGAAATAAGTCTCCTAAAGTAAAATAAGAAAAATCGGTCGACAGCGAGGCTCTTCACGTCACCGAGATAATTTGTAAAACATCCGGATGAAATGAACTCCAGGGAGCATGGCTACGGAACCACGACATGGCGTTGTCGACTGATGTCCAATTTCTGGGACGACGCAAATTCGCTTTGCGCAGTGCAGGATAAAGAAGCCTAAAATAAGGAATGCCTCGGGTCCTACGTGAGGAGTTTCCAGAAGAAGGAGCATCCGTAGAGCCATCGCAGGAAATTGTGTACTCTTGTTCAAAAGTTCAGCGCATTGGACACTATCACATCGCTTAGTACAGTACCATATTACAAAAGAAGGACTCACAGTGCAGCACCACCGCCAGAGAAGCCGATTCCTACTATGTTACTTTTTTCCGCTGGCGAGAGGATATCGGAAGTGAGAAAGGTCTGAATGGCCTGTTGCATATTGATAGTTTCTAACTATGGGCAGGTTAGAATCCAGTTCCGGCCATCTCTGAATATGGACATTCACAAATGTCGGAGTAGTGCTCTTTCAAAACTTGAGCATTCCAGAGCGCGGGATCTCCATGATTGGGACGTTCAACCACCCATACCGACTGGAATCTGGACTGAATTGACCGGTAATAAGGAGAGTCGGAAAACCTCTTGGATAACAGGCTGCCATGTTTCTTGGTCTAAACTTGGTAGTTAGTTGGCCGACACGCGCGGGCTAGAGGTCGACAGACTCAAACCAATCCCGCCGGCAAATAGCAAGGTGACGCCAGAGTCGGATTGGGACCGCGGGTCAAGGTAGTATCGGGTCGCAACACATTCCAGACGACGGTCATAGCAGTAAGAAAATCTCACAGAGGATAAAAGTAAGGGTGTGCCACCGATGGAATGCATGGGCTCGGACGAGCTGTTTAGGATCGAGTTCACCAAGATGGGCGGAAACTGATCTCATTCGCGAGTGGGTACCCATGTTCACTGAGCTTTTACTGACGGTGACTGGACGGGCATCAACAGTACGGAGTCTGTCACGGTGACCATCACGTTGTCGCAGTTCGACCAGATCGCCGTTGACTTTTTCAACTTTTGCTCCTTGCCGCTGAAGATTGTTATTTTGGAAGCGGGAGTTTGAGACCATGCTCAGTGGTTCAGGTACGGCTCGGCGGCTGTAGTACGTGGTTCATCCACTTCGTCCAACCGTTACGAGTTCTCCGCCGTCGCCCACCCCTCTCCAATACCTGTTGTGGGCGTTCAAGGCTGTTCATTGAAGACGATTCTGGTTTGTTCTGATCCCTGGGAATAAGCCGCTTCTATACTTCTGCCCGGACTAACCGGCTGTAGGTCCCCAGCGCTGTTCCATACCTTCCTCAACCCTCCCTCCGCACGGACAGCCTTATAAAGTTACGCTGTAGATGGTAGTAAGTGATCATCGATATCAGCGCATCGCACCCACAAAAATATTGTTGGCCAAATTCGTATAGAACGGACATCAACCGGGGCTGCTCTTCCCGTTTCTCAGATTCCACCATGCCCCAGGACCAAAAAACGGTTATTCTCGCTCTGGGGGCAGCCGCGCTTCTTGTGACCCTCCACTATGTAAAACCCAAGAATAAAAGGGCCCCTTTTCCACCCGGCCCCAAAGGCCTGCCCATCCTGGGAAACATCGCTGATCTGCCTCAATCACAGCCGTGGTTAACCTTTTCGCAGTGGGCAAAAGAGCACGGTAAACGATTCTTCGAATTTTGAATAAACTGCACACTCACCCCGACTTGCTGCAGGTCCCATCGTTCATTTGAGGGCCCTCGGCAAGTCCATCATAATCTTAAACGATGTGAACTATACAATCCAGATGCTTGACAAGAAAAGCCGCATCTACAGTGATCGCCCCACTCTCATTATGGGCGGGAAGCTTGTGGGATGGGACGAGGGCCCGGCTCTAATTCAATTTGGAAGGAAGTGGTCAGAATATCGTCGCTTGATGGCCCAGTTTCTCGGCACTCGCTCCAAAGTTGAAACTGCTTATAGCCTTATATTCGAGAAGACGACCCAGGCGTTCCTATGCAGTCTACTGCAGAGCCCGAATATGTGGAAAGAACACGGCTACAGGTATTTAATGCCTGCCAGTTAACGCACAATCTTGATCAACCCTTGTTACAGATTTGCGGGAGCCATCGTTCTTAAAATCGCGTATGGCTACCAGGCGGATGACCACGACGACCCTCTGGTCACGTTGGTTGACAAAGCAATGGACCAATTCTCAGAAATGACGGCGCCGAATGCATTCGCAGTCGACATGTTTCCGTTTCGTGGGTTTTTCCTCATTGTAACACGCGGTAGTTCACCTTGGTCCCCTAGTTCAATTCGTTCCGCAATGGTTCCCGGGTGCAGCGTGGAAGAAGAAAGTCGCTCATTACCACTGGACCCTCCAAACCATGCTCGACACCCCATACGATTGGGTCAAGAAACAGATGGTGATGAATTTCGTGCTGTATCATTAATGTTTCTGACGAGATAGCTAGGCAATTGGAACATCAATCTCGTCCTTCGTATCGGACCTTCTCGACTCCAACAAGTACACCAGTGACGAGGAGCGAGTTATAAAGTGGGCAGCTGCCGGAATTTACAGCGGTGAGAATGACCTCCATGCGCACATATTTTAACAGCTCGTCTAAAATCCACTTTATTTCGTAGGTGGAGCTGAGACCGTCTGCCCGTTTCCACCGGAGATGATTTGCCTGCTTACTTTGATCAATAGACTGCGGCCGTAATCGAGACTTTCTTCTTGGCCATGGTCTTACAACCAGATGCTCAATGGAAAGCTCATAACGAGTTGGACGCTGTTCTGGGGAACTGTGCTGCTCCCCAGCTGACCGACCGACCCCGTTTGCCATTCATGGAGGCGCTCATTTCAGAGATTTTCAGAACTTACACCATCGGGCCGATGGGTACTAGACTCATCGTTTTAAATACACTGTACCTAATAATCTTTACAGGTCTTCCGCACGTTGCGGCCGAGGACGATGTACACAATGGTTACTTTATTCCCAAGGATGCAATTATTCTCACAAACAACTGGTTAGTCGTCGTGCGTAATAATCTGACTTCATGTTATCTTTCATTTCCTAGGCTATTTTACCGCGACAGCAATACGTACAGGGACCCGGAGACCTTCCGGCCCGAACGCTTTATTGAAACGGCGAGCCATGCGAAAGAGAAAGATCCCAAAGATATGTTATTTGGGTACGGACGGAGGTAAAGAAATCCAACTTTCAAGTATTACAATTCTGATTGACCATTTTCAGAGCTTGTCCCGGTATGATTCGCACCAACCACTAAAATATGTATCTCATGTGGCCGTTAGGAGTCCATCTCGCCGACATGTCTATGTGGCTCTTGTTCGCCTCCATCTTGTCATTTTTCGACATCGGTCTCGCAGTTGAAGACGGCAGTCCAGTCCTTCCGTCTGGAAGATTCTCGGATGGCAGTATCAGGTACATACCTCTTCTGCTGAGCCCTCGTACATGGTCTTTCCTCACTGGTGTTCCGCAGTCGTCCCGAGCAGTTCGAGTGCACGATTACGCCCCGGAAAGGAGCGGAGGAGGCCATTCATCGGCTTTTGGACGCTTAATTATGAGAATTATGAGAAACAATATTGCGCTGCCGTCTCAGTCACCAGGTTGTACCGTAATCATGTTAGCGGTCTCCAAGTCCCACAAGTCTTTTATTATGCTGTTGTCTACGCTCGGGGTATTTAAAACTGGCAGTACGGGCATCTCGGTTCGACACCGCCCCGAGCAGTGCAGTTGAACAAAACGCAAACACTCCCAAATATCATCGCCACACTTGTTGGCAGTGACCACCATGATGACAGCGATACAGCTTTCCTCCTTCTCTCATA